AAATCAATATTTAAAATTTTATTAAAAATTTTAAAATATGCAGGCAAATTTGCCTGTGTTACAATCTAAGGGATAATATATATACGTATGTATATACATACCTGATATCAATTGGATATAAATAAAATCCAGGATCAGCATCAACTGGCCGCTTTGAAAAATATTTCTCATAATCTGCAATTATTTTAGGATTGTTGGCAGGAATTAATATTTTATCTGCAGAACCAAGATTATTCAATCCATGTTGATTTGTTTTGGATTTATAGATAAAAATATCAAAGCCCCTATCTTTCCTTTTATGAAATTGATTAGCCATCATAGTGTAGTGCTCACCACCACGTAGAGCTAAGAAAATTGTATTGTAAAAAAAAACTCAATTTAATAATCTACTTGGTGTATCTCTTGATGTCGCTTCATATTGTAAAATACATTGAATCTCCTCAAATGATAATGAGTCGGATCTATTAGTTTCACTATAGCCTTTTTCAGAAAGGTCTCAGGTCTTTCCATCAAGTATTTCCTACAAACTAGGAAATAACTTTTTGTCGCACAAATCAACAGGTTTGACTTTACTAATATTCGAATTGTAAAATCTATTGATTGCCTAATTGCAGACAAAAGAGATGATACTGTATATTCTGATCCATCATTTTTTTTAGCCACGGTAAAATATTCACAAAGTTGTGTTTCTAGTTTGGAAGTATCATCTATATCTTCTGGTGCCCCTTCTAGTCTAACATCTGAACGATATTCTTGAAATTTATTGATCCAATTTTGTGTTGACCTATGAGTATTTTTAACTTTAGACTTGTTACGTAAATATGATAATTGCTCTTCAGTTGGTTTTTGATAAATTTTTTTCTTTTTTTTAGTTTTGGACATTTTGAAATTAAATCGAATCTAGAAAAAGAAAACCTGATCGAAAAAGTATTTTATTTTTTTTATATAATAAAATAAACTACTAATAGACATAATAGTATAATCATCAATAACTACTATACGATAATATCGTTATTAGCATAGATAAAAAAAATATTCACGTGGGTGCATGATCTGCCAATTACCTGTCACCGTTTAATACCCACGGCATATTTTTTTTACCTATACAATAACTATATAATACTGTATATACAATATTCATTTTTTAAAATATTTATATTACTTCTTTATAATCACATTTATTTATATTTTATATAATGTGATTATATAGAAGTAATTCTATATTAGCACACTTCTATACTATCACCACTTAAGGGTATGCCTAACTGAGTGATTATAAGAGAGAACGACTGTATAGAACATGTAAAGAAATGAAAATAGCATTCAATATAACAGTATATGCATTTAGACAGTATCAATTAGACAGTATGCATTTTGATAGTATCGACTGTATATAGTGAAAGTGTAATTCTGCCAGAAATTTATATCAAAAATTTTTTGATAAAAAAGTTGCTAAATTAATAATTTAAAAATTTTAATTGAGTATAAATTATATATAAAAAACATTTTCCAAGGCATATATTTTATTTACAAAATTTTAAAAAATATTAGATATAAACTTCATTAGTCTATATAATTTATATGCTGTATCACTGTATTAGGATATTTTACCAATAAAAAATAATTGGTCACTAGTAATTTATTTGTCAAAAATAGTCTGTAACATGTTTAGTAACTAATCAATAAATGTTGCAAATAAAAAAGAGTAAACATGAGGGAATCTAAGAATGTTTACAAAAAGACCAATTATTTTGGTGAAAAAAATTTTTAACCTAACTTTTTTATTTTGCCAATTCAAATTTTGCCAATTTAAATTTTGCCAATTCAATATCGTTGTTCAGCAGTAAGGTTATCAAAGGATAAATTTACAGGAATATTAGCATTTTGAGGTACCAGAGGCTGATCTCTAACTGCTTGATTCGTAGGTTGATTCATAATGGTAGTTTTACAACCTTGGATAGGAGATTCTAGCTTATTTTTCTTTAATGAAATCTTCGAGTTGTTTGATACGAGCACAAAG